CTTCCACAAGCTTCCCACAATAAGTTGGGTGAATTTTGGCCCATTCCTCCTGACAGAGCTGGTGTAACTGAGTCAGGTTTGTAGGCCTCCTTGCTCGCACACGCTTTTTCAGTTCTGCCCACAAATGTTCTATAGCATTGAGGTCAGGGCTTTGTGATGGCCACTCCAATACCTTGACTTTGTTGTCCTTAAGCCATTTTGCCCAAACTTTGGAAGTATGCTTGGGGTCATTGTCCATTTGGAAGACCCATTTGCGACCCAGCTTTAACTTCCTGACTGATGTCGAGATGTTGCTTCAATATATCCACATAATTTTCCTTCCTCATGATGCCATCTATTTTGTGAAGTGCACCAGTCCCTCCTGCAGCAAAGCACCCCCACAGCATGATGCTGCCACCCCCGTGCTTCACGGTTGGGATTGTGCTCTTCGGCTTGCAAGCATCCCCCTTTTTCCTCCAAACATAACGATGGTCATTATGGCCAAACAGTTCTATTTTTGTTTCATCAGACCAGAGGATCCTTATCATGTTTGGAAGTGTCTTTCCCATATTTCCCCCTAATTTCTTTCTTCTTTCACTGTCTGTCTATTACTCTCTGCCTCACTTTCTCACCCATTGCTTATCTGTCTTTCTCATGTTTTCAGGTCACCATTAGATGGGCTTCTCTTCCTAGCATATCCTCATGACTCTGGGGCTCTCTCTCAGTCCTTTGATGAGCTGCAGCTCTTTGATGATGGAAGTTCCGACCTAATCCATCTCTAAGGATTGTGTGTTGTCTGAATTTTTTCTGAATATGTGTAATGTGTGAGTATGTGAATTTGAGTTCATAAAGATCTCCATCTCTTTGTTTCCACCTTTGGGGGATTCTCCAAGGTCACCAACGTCTTCAGAGGGGTCAAACGACCACCAGATGGCCCTCAGGTCACCCATGGGCCTCCCTCAGCTGACGACGAACCAGGCTTTGAGCGCATCACCTGTCTAATTGGGGGGTGGAGATTGTCAGTGCTAGTGATAAGAGTTTACATCTGTGGAGTAGATGGAGAAGAGGCCTCACTTTATAGAATACATATGATAGCTATAATGTACAGATGGTGATTTTATACAGATGTAAAGAGTGGTGAAAGAGTTTTCATTTATGTGCCACCAGGGGGCGGAGCTTGGCCCTAAACCAGACGTAACCAGGGGACAGCCTCTGGACAAGTGGGAGGAGTTCCTGGACCCAGAAGGGCATGTGAAGGACCCACAGCGAATCAAAGAACTGGTCTTCAGATGGGTAGGACCATCATCTACACTACAGTGTATCAATGAGGGGATTGATTATCTGGCCTGGGGGAAAAGTTTGCACTGGGTGAAAGGTGATTGAATTTGTTTTGAAACAGGGCTGCCTCCCGGGTATGAGCCAGAGCCCTGTTTATTGCCCAGGGTAAAGTCAGTTCAAAACAAAATTAGTCTCTGTACTGATGTTTTGCCTTTTTGATTGCCTTATGAAGGGCATAACTGGACTGTTTGTACTCAACCATATTCCCAGTCACCTTGCTGTGGTTAAATGCGGTGGTTCACGCTTTCAGTTTTGCGAGAATGCTGCCATCTATCCACGTTTTGGGGTTTGGATAGGTTTTAATCATCACAGTGGGAACAACATCACCTATACACTTCCTGATGAACTCAGTCACCGGGTCAGTGTATACATCAATGTTATTCTCAGAGGCAACCTGGAACATATCCCAGTCCGCATGATCAAAACCATGCTACCTTGTTGAAAACGTTAGTCTCTTTCTATCTCCCTCTCTATTTGGGGGCCTTACTCTTTATCCCAGATGGTGACTGTTGTCTAAATGTGAGTGAATTAATGAATCTCCTCAACCACTCTCTGTTTCTCTGGCTTCAGAGATGAATATTTCAGAATGAAGGTTCAGTGGAAGTCAGTCAGATGAGGAACTCCCTCCTCAGAGGATACCACAGCCTGATAAGTCGGTGCTGCTGTCTGTTTAACATTTCCGTATGCCTCATTGGTTGATAATGATTCTTAACTGTTCTCTTTGTTTTGATTGGACAGAGAGGGATGTGAGTCGGACGGACAGACCCAACTCCTTCTCTGGCAACGACAACCCAGGCCTGACTTCTCAATGACGTGCTGATGACATACTGCATGTTCAACTTTGATCTGGGTAAGCCACTTCCCTTGGCCTTACACTTGAAAGTTTAAACCCATTGTATCACATTTCAAGTATATTTATTATCAAGATCTCACACCTGACTCTCCTCTCACTTTGTGGTTCCTATTGTCTCTCTCTCTCCCTGCAGGCTACCGTATGTCCAGGGGATGAGGGACCCCTTGGCTCCTCTCCTGTTCGTCACCCAGAACGAGGTGGAGTCCTTCTGGTGTCTGACAGGCTTTATGGAGATGGTGGTAAGCACCTTACTCTCTTGTCATATAATCATATATTACCACATACTGCAAGGTTGTTAAACCATAACATTATACATGTATTATAACATTCTAATGTTCTCTCGCTCTGTCCCTCAGCACCAGAACTTTGAGGAGTCTCAGGAGGCCATGAAGCAGCAGATTCTCCAGCTCAGCCTGCTGCTGAAGGCTCTGGACCCTGAGCTCCTTGACTTACCGGGGTAAACAATGACTATCACTCAGTCTAGGTTTGGGCGATGTCAACCTTTATCCTATCGTGATTATGTATTTATAAAACATTGTGATATACGATGCTATCGCCCCTCTTGATTTGCCTCATAAAATAATAGAAAAATAAATAATATTGTTTGTTATTTCTCTCATAAAGCTTGCTCATCTTGTTCTTTTTGAAAACCACAACAACTTTAGGACAACGCTTTCGTAGACTAGATTATTTGGGAAATAAACTACTGTTCATCATTTTTAACTTGTCTTAAAGCTTATATGATAGGCCAGTAGGAGGATAGGTTATTGGCCATTTGGTTTTCAACCTCAATGGAGGGATTTTCCCCGCCCGCATGGATAATTTATTTCTTAATAAGCTTAAACTTGTCATTCGATTTTTCTATAGGCTATTGATATTGATTGTTCTCTCTCATTATTAGTCCTCTGGCTATGTTTTTAGGCTATTCAAAAACGTTTTGAGATGGAACTCCGTTACATTAATTGTTTGATCATCAGAAAGCCATGCACAAAATGATGAAGCGTAGCTTTCAGTCATTCATAGCCTATCGAATGGAGAGAGAAGGGAATATAGTTTTTTAAAACACAAGATAGTTAAGAAGTGTCTGTTATAAATTTAGGCTATAGCCTAATGTCCTTGCATCCGACAGAGAGAAATAAACAATATTTTCTGACTGGAGATTTTGCGCTGCTTTGGTGGAATTCTCCGCTCAGTCTGGCCTATATTCCTCTCTTACATTCTGTAGACTATATAACATTTATTGAAATAGGCTATATCAAATAGGAATAGGCAAACTACTAGGAATATCACTTGTGTGCTGCCCTGCTGTGCACTGTGAGACTGTTTGTTACTGTCAAGTTCAAATATGCTAAACCACCATCTGTCACATCACAATGTCGTCACCATCAACAATGGCTGTCAATCATCGTCGATGGACGATGCTATCGTAATATCGCCCAACCCTGAACTCAGTCACTGTGTTTCATTCACACTTCACCATAACCCACCAGTGTTATTACTCAGTTATTCATCATGCAGTCAATTCTCCAATAAATCAATGTTATGCTGGATTATATTTTACCTTAACTCAAGGTGTGTTATGTCACTACCTGGATGCGTAATCCAAGTAGTAAATTCTTCACATTGTTATGTTTAGTCATTTATGTTGTGTCTCTCTTTCAGACTTCCAGGACAGTGGCTCTCTGTGCTTCTGTTTCCATTGGTTACTGTTCTGGGCACTGGAGCCCTTCCCTCACCTCAGACACACCCGGAGGGGGATGTAAATGCTAAGTGAGATGCTTGGGTACCCAATCTATGACGTCACCCTATTGAAGTTGAGATTGAAGTGTTAAGGTAAGTGTTAGGTTAAGGTTAAGGTTAGGGTAGGGGTTAAGGTAATGGTCATAGCAAGGATCCCCCTTAGCATCTATTCTTTAATTTTCAAAAAGGCTTTTGTGGATTCTTTTCCGAAACAACATATGGAACAGTGAATATTGAGACATTTTTATTCTTTCATTTTTAAAAAGGCTTTTGTGGATAACATCTCAGCAACAAACACTCTTAGAAAAAAAGGTGTTATCTAGAACCTTCGGCTGTCCCCATAGGAAAACCCTTTGAAGAACCCTTTTGGGTTTCATGTAAACCATTCCA